GATAAAAGGCTAACATTTTGGTTTAATGGGAAATGCTGCTATTGGGTACACTTAACCCCCAAGGGCCATCTAAGAATATCTGCTTCTGGATGGCCATGACAGAGGGAGCCATTCTTAAGAGGACAAACTATTCCAGAGCAGGGGAGATATTACAGAGAACTGTAAACATTAGCCTACTCATGCCATCACTTCTAGTAGGTGGGAACTCTTAGCAGGCACTCCCTAGTTGTCTGGGCAGAATGGGAAGAAACTATTGAAGAAAGATGGTCCTGAGACATACAGGGCTTTATAGATGCAAACAACTCCTTCAGTTGCACTAACACAGCAGTATAATGTGACAGTACTATGACTGTCAACTGAGCACAGATGCTGCTGTGTTCTGGGTGGTCTTCAACGACAGCACCATACAGAGTGAATTACAATAAGCTAATAAAGAGACAATAAAGGCATGAATGACTGTCTTCATCCTGTTCCAGGTAAGGCCACAGATGGCGCACCAGTCAAAATTCTGCAAAAGCCCTTCTGGCCACAGCGTTCCTCTACTCTTTTGCAGTTGGTCCAGAAAGGATATCTTAGTCAACAGCATCAAAAACTGCTGAAAGTTCTAATCTAGAAGGACAAGATTGGTCATGCCCACCTCCATTTAAGCCCCTTCATCTATGACACTGACTAGTTTGGTTTCTGTTTCATGTTCAGATATGAACTTAAATTGCTAAAAGTCCAGATATGGACTATGATAACCTTCATCGCTTCTGTAGCGATAGTCCCATCACTTTCTCAATAACTTTCCCCCAAAAGGAAACTACCCAATTTTGTTAGATCCAGGTCTGGGCAAGCCAATCTGTCTTTAAGAGCTTCTGACATTTCCTCGTCCTTCAAAGAGCCATTGAGTTCAGCCTGCAACAAACTATTGGTGCCCTCCTCCACCACCCAGGTGGAGCAGGGTCCAAATCAAGTAGTAAAGCTAAAGTTGCAGAGAACCTTGTCTACTTCATCAGGATCCAGAGGTCCTAAACTCTCTCAGACAGGACCATAACGTCGCCTCTGCCATTTCAGTATATTCTGTCTATTCAGCTTCCAAAGCGGCTTCCATCCTTTTTGGAGAGATGGATGCAATGTTCTTCCTCATATGTGCCTTAGAGTACAGAACCATCACCGGAGCTAGTGGGGGTTTTTTGGAAGCCAATTAAGTAACAGATGGAGCAATACACAGAGAGAAGCTAATTTTTTTTTTAAAAAAAATGCCTATATTTGAAAGACTAGTGTGGCATTGCAAAGACCTGTCAATTGATATTAGCCAGCATCTGTTTTGAGTCTGACCAATACATAATACTTGGAAATTTATTACAAGCCTTTGGGCTCACTGAGGACCTTAACATTAGAGACCCATGTGGAATGCCCAAATATGCCAATTCCTTGAATGTAGAGAGTAATATTCCCCTACAGTATATTTTGTCACAAGTGCCAGCTAACCTTTTACTACTGTATGTAATAAATCCAGAAGTAGCATCTGTCTCCTTACTGTTGCTGCCATGTGGCTTGCCTAAGGCCAGCTAGGGATATGACAGAAGATGTAAGATTCAAACCAAGACTTACCTATTTATCACCCAGATTATCAGACAGCGTACCACCCAGAGAATGTGGACCAGCCATTAATCAGTGGCTATAAAAACATGATTAACAGCCCAGCTGTTACCCACCTGTGATTTGGATCCTTTAAAATCAGATTTTCAGCCTGGTTTAGAGCTAAATAGAGCTTTGATCATTCTGGTGGAGTTAGTTACATTGGGAGTTACAGAGGGGGAATGCTTGTGTGTTGGTTTTGATAGTCAGCTATGGATATTGTTAGCCATGGTTTTCTTTTAAGTAACTTGAAGGCAACTTTTCTGATAGATCCAATTGTTTCTGAGATGCAAGTCTCAATAGATGTACTCTAAAGTTTTGTGTGTCTCAAAGCTAGCAACCTTTGAAGCCCTACAAAAGGTCCCCTTTTTTCCTGTATTATTCTTGGATAAGTACCTTCAAATGATTACGTGTTTTCTGGAGAATACTGATCTTGCTACAGTCATTTATAGTTTAGCAATCTTCAAGTAAGATTGCTGTAACATTCTATATGGGCAACTCCAAAACATGAAGAGCACTGCAAAAGACTGTGAGCAGGTCCATGTAAATGATCATATTATGATAGTGTTTAATTGAATGCAACATCTGTCAATTAGTTTCTAGGGCCAATTCACTGTTTTCAAAAATGTGATTAGACTAGAATCAGATAAGTTGAAATTTAATTACTCTTACAAACCAACTTGCACAATTAGATCATCAGGAAATAACTGCATGAAATCTCTCCCTGAAGCATTATTTCAGATAGCACCATAATTTTGTAGCAGCATTTTCAGCATTGCTTGGAATTGAACTCAAATCAAGTCAGATTTAATGGTAGCTAAATGCCATTAAAAGCCAAGGAATAGTTTCTGACTAGCGTAAACCGAGCTGATTTTATTAGCATAGCTAAAATGCTGTATGTGCTTTCCAGGCAGTAAAACCCATTCAATTTAGCAGGATTTACTTTTGAATAAAGTTATATGAGATAACACACTAATTTCTGACTAACTGTTGCTGGTTTTTTAAGCCATGTTTTAGTCTGTTGATAAAGTGCATATTTTAATTCTTGCTCAGCCATTGCCACATACCATTCTAATGTCACTCCACCAGACTGATTCCCCAGTGCACTGCATGACACTAAATTAAAACTGACTTGCTTTCAAGGAATGTACTCAGGATTAAAACCATTTGAAAAGTTGCTTTCTGGACTTTTGCCCCATTCTAACCATATGCTTGGATTTCTTTAACAGTCTATTTCTTCAATTTCATTCTTTATTGCTATTATCAAGGCCCACAATTCTGTGCATAAGTTGCTTCTTAAACAAGGTCAGTAAACATTTTGTAGCCATTCTTTTTAGAATTATTTTAAGAAACAAATGTGAATTCCCTGGTATCAGTATATAGCCTGAACTGGTGGACATTTTCTTGGACCCATATACATTCCTGATACAAAATATATGCACATGAGTTTACTGTTCAAATGTACTTTTTTCCTGCAACTCTAGTTCAAATCTACACCAGAGTTCTAAAGTAGGGTTTTTGACCATTTGTGTGACAAAGAAAAAAGATATTATAAGTTTGAGTAAAACTGGTCATGCTTTAATATTAAGACAAATAACTCCCTCCTACAAAGACTTGTTCAGAAGAAAAGGCCACTTCAACAGTTTTTATTTCCTAACTATACCTGCAAGCTTATGCACATCTCTTTGGGGATAAGCCATTGGGTATACATCATCATACTCCCCAGGGTACAAAAACACATGGACAAGCCAGAATATGCACACTGTTTTGTTAAAAAAAAACTTTCATTCAAATGTTATATTTTTGGGGCTGAATTGGTATTTTCAGGGAACAAGATTATAGAGACCATCCAGAGATCAGCTTGCTTTATGCAATCTTCTATAGAATTCTCATGGGGGGGGGGGGAGAGAACAGGGGATGTCTCTATGAAAAATGTGACAAGTAATTTTATTTAGTTAGTTCAGATGCCCCCAAAATCAATAGGTAGACTTTTGAAAGAGAGAAAAAAGCAGTCTTTTCTTTCACTGACTAACACTGATGTTACCTAGTTAGGATAGTGAAACATCTGCAAGAAAACAAGCAAGCTCAAAGAGCACCAAGGATCCCTCAAAGCAGTCTTTAACAGATTTAAACTTAGCCATTTAACAAATATTTCTTTTAGAAGAGATTAAAAAAAAAATACAGAAGGAAGCTGCAGCTGCTGAGGTTCGTTTGTAATATAGGAATCTCCTGTCTGTCTCTGCTCCTCTCCCCCCCCCCACATGTTGGTAAGGTGGGGGCCCCAATCTTGGTAAGGTGCGGACAGTGCAAAGGAGGGATGAGGATCCAGAGCTTGGCAAAGGAGTGTCAAAAGTAAACAAAACTCAAAAGAGGCCGAACCAAACAAACAGCAGGCAGGCACCTCCGCTGAACCTTATCTCCCCTCCCCGCTGGATCTCATTAAAGGCACTCTAAATCCCATCAAGGGCTAATTTACACCCCGCCCCCTCTCTTATGAAGAAAACACCACCCGTGCTATCTCCAATCTCTCAGAGCCTGGAAAAGCGGTTTCCCTTCCTTCCACTCAGCTTTTACACGGGGAACCCGGATCTGCGATTTAAACTTTAAAGCTTAGTCAGTTAATTCACACGCATCCATTGTGTTGTTCTTCCCGAGCAACTGCGAGGCGTGGGGGGGGGGGAAACCTCAGGGACCCGACTAACGCTTTCAACACACCTGGAATGGAAAGGGAGCAAAAAGATGCGCATACTCACGTTTAGTCAAAATTCCTGCATTAATAGGTGGGGGGAGGGGAGGAGGACTTACTCTCTGGTAAGCATTTATCTGCCCAGACGCCGACTGCCTTCTACACTTTCCTGAACCAAAGTGTTGTCTAAAGTGTTTCTGACAGCTACCCTCCGACATCCCAAGAAGACATCTCCATAACAGGTAGCTAATGATTCTCGTGGCTTTATAAAACACAATAGGGTAGCACTCGTGGTTTGCCCTCCACTGTGATTTGAAGGGGGAAAGCCTCGCCTGCACGCAGGACTAGATAGGTGCGGCTTTAACACGCCTTCTAACAAGCCTGCCATCACCTCATCCCGCCAGCCCCGTTCAAAACCAAAAGTTTTTCCCGCACATTTAGCTTTCCACTGCTCTACATGGGGGGGGGGGGCCTTGCACGGATGGATACAGCTCGGGAGGCTCCCTGACCTTAGAGGCACAAACAGCTGGAGGTGTGCGCGCCCTCCTCCCTTGGATTCCCCAGAGGCAAACTCCCCCTTCCAAGCCGCCCTCCCACCTTGGCCGGACGAACTCGGGAGGTGGGGTTCCTTTTCCATCCCGCGCTGGGTGAAATTCGCCCGCACCTCGCTCATCCCGGGGCAAGAACTTACTTTTCCGCGGCGTTCGCAGCTAGCCGCAGTGGGATCCCGGCTCGGCTTCGCTCCAACCAGCAGCAGCAGGAGGCAAAGCAGCAACAAGCGAAGCTCGGCGTTGTAAACCACCATCCTACTTTACTCCACGCCCGGGGCACGAATAGGTGGGTGGGTGGGAGAGACACGAGGGAGAAGGGGGGGAAATCTCAATCACTCGGCCGAACTACGAACAAGTTTTTTTGGGGGGGGGGGAACTTTGGTGGTTCAGCTTTCTTCCCGCACAGACCAAAATGTGTTTTTTCTTCTTAGGGCGCTTAAGGCGCCTGTCCTAGCGGCCCGCTCCCTAAATCAACCCCTAGCCAAGCCTTCCTGCCGCTGCCCCCACCTCTTAAAGGGTCTCTGTCCCAGGTTGCGAGGAGGAGGAGGACTCGCCATGCCGCGGAGGGGGGGAGGAAGGTCCCTCCCCCGCCCGATCTCTCCGTCAGTCTCTCGCCTTCCCGGTGCAAAGTTGCTCCAGGAGCAGAACGGCGGAGTTTCTGGAGCAGCCCCCGTGGATGGAGGCAGCAAGTCATAGGCTGGCGGGATTGGCCGCAGGAGGTGCCTAACCCTAAACTCTCCCGCCGCCGGCCGGAGAAGCCCTCCTCCTTTCCCCGCTCTGACCTCCGCCCCGGGCCCAGTTGGCCTCCTGCTGGATTTTCCGCGTAGTTGTTGCAACACATCCCACGCGGCTACAACCCAGCGCGGATTCCTTGGGACGGTGGCTGTGCACCAGGGCAGGAATAACGCTCTGAGACCCACGTCGGGAAAACAGAGCAGTCGCAGATTCATATAGGAGATCTAGGAAAGGCCATCCAGATAAGTCAACCCTTCTCCCTGTTAGACACAACTCCCTTACAGCCAATGGATCATAACTAAAGCCCTGCAGTTGAAGCCTTTGCCAACTAGGCCGCCAGTTTGGTTTTTAATTACCACATAAGAAGGTTTTCAGATGGTATGTGTTGCGTCCTTGGCGGGAAAACAGACACGAGAAGCGGCTGGAGTTCTCAGGTTCTTTTATTCAGCGTTCAGCTTACAGGAAGATGGCTTCAGTTCAGCCCAAACGCCTCACAGCCTCTTATATAGGCAACTCCCGGGTAAATGGGTTACTTTTCCCGCGCCAGCACCCGCGCATGCGCACGGCGCTGGCGACAGCCTGTCTGGTCCCGGGCAGCTTTGCACCTGCCCGGGACTGCCTGCAAACGCCCGAGCCGTTTGCAAGGCTCGGGACATAACACCCCTTTCCCCCGGGCTAAAACTACTATCAACATACAACATTTATTTTACACGACAATTTGCTCCCCAGTGTTCCCACTGTTTACTGGCTTCTGTCTTGCCAACAATGTTATGTAATCTTCTAGGTACTTAGGAGATTTCTTTGCTCTCTGTGACCTTCTTAGCTCTGGGTTACTGGCATAAGTCCCCTGACTGGAGGGAGGCATGAGCCTGTTCTCTCTACTGTGCCCTGGTGTCTTCCAAGGACTGTGCCCCGATGCCTGGCCTGCTTGCTTGCCCACCGGGCTCGTCAGGCCAGGGCTTCTGTTGCTTTGTGACCTGGTTGTCCTACCTAGCTGTAGACCCTCAGGCCCCTTGAAGTGATAGCCACTGCTGGGCGTCTCTGTAGAACCCCCTAGGTCAGTCCAAGACCTGTCAGGAGGCTGTCTATTCCCTGAACCCCATTCTGTGTTTGGGCTCGTGTGGGTTTCTGTACTCTCCCAAAACTCAGGTGTCCCCTGATTTGTGCTAGGGGTGTTGTAGTCGGGACTTGGTTCCTCGACTAGCTCTGTGTATGTTTGACCCCCTGTAGGATTTGGGGTAAGGTCAGGCCAACCTTGGGCATTGTGTGCCAGCTCTCTTGCGGGGAATGATTTGTTGGGATGCCCCCGGGTATCCTCCGTTGCTGGAGTGCTGTGTGCTGTGTGTGGAAAGTGAGTATGCCCCCGGGGTAACTCCCTGGCTGGAGTAGGCGTGAGTGCCTGTTGTGTGGGTAAGCTCCAAGACTTCCTTTTCGGAGCAATTGCAGAACCTTGGGACGAGCCGTTTGTGGCTCCCTCAGTGGCGATGGGCAGTAGCTCTTGCCCTTCCCTTTGCTCCAAAGGGTCCCCCTCCCCCCCTGGAAAAGACCCAGGAGTTTCAGCAGAAAAGTCCCGCCTAGAGCGGAGTTGGTCGATGTGCCGACGCAGGACACGACCGTTGTCCAGGGCAACCTCGTAGGAGAGAGGACCTGTGATCCTGGACACAGAAGCGGGGACCCATGTATGACCAGGCCCGTAATTGCGAGCCCAAACCGGGGCACCCACAAGTAGTTGTCTAGGTGCCCTAGGATGTGAGGTAGATGAAGGCAGTCTGTCCGGATGCAACCGGTCAAGTCTCGTAGTAAGTTGGCGCCCCCAACGAAGTTCAGCTGGACTTCTCCCTGTAGAAGTGGACGGTGTGGTGCGATAAGAAAGGAGAAAGTCAGCCAACCTGTGATGCCAGTCCCCGTAGGTGAGTCTCTTCAAGGCGTCCTTTGCGATGCGCACCATGCGTTCAGCCATACCGTTGGTGGATGGGTGAAAAGGCGCAGATGTGGCATGACGAATCAGGTTTGCCTGTAAGAAAGCTTGGAATTCGGAGGAGGTGAATTGAGGGCCGTTGTCAGACACAATGACATCTGGCAGCCCGTGTGCAGCAAAAATCCCCCTCAGTACCTGAATAGTCTTTGCAGTGGTGGTGGACGAGACAGGCACAACCTCAAGCCATTTTGAATGGCTGTCAACAAGGACCAAGAAGAACTGGCCCTGAAAGGGCCCAGCGTAGTCAATGTGCACCCTAGACCATGGGGACTGTGTTTCCTCCCATTTATGCACAGGAGCTTGGGGCATCTCTGGGCGAGATCGTTGGCACATGTGGCATGCGTGTACCTTAGCCTCAATATCTTTATCTAAAGCAGGCCACCACAAGTGGCTGCGTGCAAGAGCCTTCATACGAACAATGCCAGGATGACCCTCGTGGAGGGATTCTAAGACCCTAGTCCTCATTGAGGTGGGAATGACAACTCTGTTTCCCCAAAGCAAACAACCCTGAGAAAGGGACAATTCGTTCCTTTTGGACCAGAAACTCTGAAACTCAGGACTAGGGCAGTGCTCAGGCCACCCGGACAGGACCCAGGAGCGGACACGTGAAAGTGTGTGATCTGTACCTGTTTCAGCGGTAACATCCCTGGCACTAAGAGGAAGCTCGGGTAAGGCTTGGATTGATAGAATGTTGACAGCTGGCGCGGGGTCAGCTTCTACTACTGGCAGAGGCAACCTACTGAGGCCATCAGCATGGCCCATTTCTTTCCCAGGCTTGTGGAGTAATGAAAAATCATATGCAGACAAAAAAATAGACCACCTAAGCATTCTAGGGGAAATGATGTGGGGAGTCTGCTTACGTGTGGTAAACAGTCCCAGCAGAGGCTTATGGTCAGTGAAGACCGTGAAATGCCTGCCATATAGAAAATCGTGGAATTTTTTAATTCCAGCAACAACAGCCAGAGCCTCCCTGTCTATCTGAGCGTAGTTGCGCTCGGCAGAAGACAATGTTCTGGAGTAGTATGCAATAGGAACCTGAGTTCCATCAGACCTGAGGTGACTCAGGACAGCTCCAACCCCGTAGGGGGATGCATCACAAGCGATGCACACAGGAAGAGACTCGTTGAAATGTGCAAGAACACTGTTAGAAGTGAGCAAGGCCTTGACTTCTTTAAAGCAAGCCTCATGTGCTTGTGACCACAGCCACACAGCTTGTTTGTCTAGTAGCCTGTGAAGAGGCTCAGCTACACTAGCTTTATGTGGAAGAAAAGAATTGTAGAAATTCAGGAGGCCTAAGAAGGCCTGAAGTTCGGCCTTAGACTTTGGCCTGGGTGCTTCTAAAATAGCAGTTAGTTTGGATTCAGCAGGATGAATCCCAGCAGCATCAATTTTGAATCCCAGAAATTCAGTAGAAGGCACCCCAATCTTGCATTTGTCTTTTCTGAGCTTAAGGCCTGATTTCCTGAATCTTAACAGGACAGCCCTAAGCCTTTCAGCTAGAATGTGTGTGGAGTCTCCTGCAATCAAGACATCGTCAAAGTAGGGGCAGACCCCTGGTATACCTCGTAGTGTGTTTTCCATTACGCTTTGGAAAATCCCAGGAGCGACATTCACTCCAAACTGCAGCCTTTTTACCTTAAAGGCTCCCCTGTGGGTCACAATAGTCTGAGCTATGGCAGCATCATTATCAACAGGCAGCTGTTGATATGCTTGAGCTAGGTCAAGCTTTGCAAAAACACGCCCCCCCTTGAGAGAGGCCAGGATGTGACTGACCACAGGAACAGGATAGGCATGTTGCTGCAATGCCTTATTGAGTGTGCATTTGTAATCAGCACAAATGCGAATGTCCCCATTTGCCTTTAGAGGCGTGACAATGGGGGTCTCCCATGGGCTGGAATCAACAGGTTCTAGGATTCCTTGTTGGATTAGTTTGTCTAATTCAGTGTCAATCTTACTTTTTAAAGCAAAAGGGACCCTTCTTGCTTTAATCCTAATGGGAGTGACAGTGGGGTCTAGCTTTAAGGACACAGGTGGTCCTTTGAATGTGCCCAGCTGGGGGCTGAAAACATCTGCAAATTCCTTGCAGACTTCCTGTAGGTCGAGTGTTTGTAAGCTGTTGAGTCCTGTGACGTGTATCCCCAGGGCCTCAAACCAATCGAGTCCTATGAGACTCGTTCTTTCACCCCCTACTACTAACAAGTCTAGTGGACCTTCAAAACTCTTGTATTGCACGTTAAGGGTGGCCTCCCCCTTAACACACACTCTTGAGTTCTGAAAATCAGTTAATACAATATCAGAAGGCCTTAACTTGGCCTTAGTCCCACTACTGGAACAAATCTTCCTAAATGTATGCAATGAAATGATGGAAAGGGCGGACCCTGTGTCTAGTTCCATAGATAATGGAACCCCTTGTAGCTTCACGTTGAGTGACAGCTTTTTCTTCATGGGCTTGTGTGTGCCTGTCCTACAAATGTTTCTACGCGAAGCGCAAAAACCTACCCTATTCTGGCTGGGGACTCTGGTACCCTTCAGGCGTTCTTCTTGAGGTTGTGCCTTTCGTCGGCCCAGACACACAGCTGCAATGTGCCCTTGTTTGCCGCATGCCCGGCAGGTAGCGGAGCGGAACTTGCAGTCGGTTCTCCTGTGGCGACCTCCACAGCCGATGCACTTGAGCGGAGCTGAAGAGCTTTCCTTCTGATTTTCTCCCTTCGCGGGGTGTAGACGGTCGACTTCTTCGTCCGGATCCTCCTCGGAGTTTCGTCGGACGTCTTCTTGGTGCACGGACGCACCCTCTGCACTGCTTCTGATCGGCCGCATGTTCTTGACGGCGCCGCCTGCTGCTTCTTCCGCGGTGGCTTCCCTTAAAGCGTCTTGGAAGGATAATTCTTCCTTAGCGAAAAGTCTCTGTTGTAGCTCTCGATGCCTCAACCCGCACACGAATCGGTCCCTCAGTCGTTCCTCGAGGTCCTTGAACTCGCAGGGCTTGGCGGCCTTCCGTAACGCGGCGATGTACTCCTTGGCTGACTCCCCGGACCGTTGATCCCTCTGCTCGAAGGTGTGGCGCCATGAGATAACGGACACCTTGGGGTGGAAGTGGTCCTTCAGCAGCTTCTTCAG